GCCTCTCCCAGCCCCCCAGAACTGGCTAACTTTTGGCGAGATCAGTGACTGGTTTTGTTTGATATCTTTCTATTCCTAGGATTTTCTTCCCTTTTTATTGGAGAAAATACAACTGAAGAGTGCCACGATTACCTTTCTCTTGGTCTGTACAGAGATGTGATCTTTGTCAGTCCTAGAAGACAGCTACTTAGAACAGTTGCTTTCAAGAGCTCTGTGCTGTTGCTTAGAAATGGCTTGTGTTTGTCCTGGAAAAAAAAAAAAAAAAAAAAAAAACCTTGGCTGAGTTCAAGAGACTCAGCTACTCTTCTCCTAACTGCCTCAAGGCTCCTGATGAATGAATGGAAAGTAAGACATTTGAGAGAGGGATATAGGGACACCCAGCTCCTTCAGGCAAAATTTTCCATGGTGCGTGACTCTTGTATGTGTGTTTGTATGTGGCATCTGCATGTGTATGCATGCACATGCAGAGGTCAGAGTAAGACGTCAGGTGTCCCCTAATGTTCTTCACCTTATTCCCTTGAGACAAGGCGTCCCATTGAAGCTGAGCTCACTGGTTTTTGTTTGTTTGCTTGTTTTTGTTGTTTTCATTTTGGGCCACAAAAGCCCCAGTGACACCGTTTCCATTTCTACCCCTATCCCCAATACTGGGATGACAGTCACATGTGGCAATGCCCAGGTTTTTACATGAGTGCTGGGAGTCCAAACTCAGGGGTGCTCTTATCTACGGAATCTTAATTTTATTCATTAGACCCTTAAAGTTTTATCCCCATCACCAGTAAGAAACAAAGTCACTTCTTTACAATGGCACTTAAAGCCTTTTACAACTGGGACCTTATTTTCCTTGAAAAATCTTATCTTTTTTTTCCTTGGAGTATACATGTCTATCATGTGACCTTCCTGATTTCTCCACCCAAACCCTATTCATCCTGAAGAACCTAGTCTGTGAAGTTTTCCAGTACCACAGAGCAAGATTCTCATGCTACCTTTCTGGGTCTTTCAATATCACAGTCCTTTTCACATTTTATTTTCATTTCTTTGGCTTCACTAGATTGAAAAAAAAATGACAGAAAAGTGGTTCTCAAATGTGGGTCGTGACCCACTTCGCAAACCTCTATCTCCAAACAATATTTATATTACAATTCATAACAATAGCAAAATTATAGTTATGAAGTAGCTGTGAAAATAATTTTATGGTTGGGGAGTCACCACAACATGAGGAACTGTGTTAAAGGGTCATAACATTAGGAAGGTTGAGAACCATTGTCCTAGAGACTGAGACTTGGACACTAAGGTCTTGTTTGACTAGATTAAAGACTGTGGAATAAGTTCATAAAGAACAAAATGATAGGCAGTGGTGGCATGCTTTTAATGTGCCTTTAATCCCAGCACTCAGGAGGCAGAGGTAGGTGGATCTCTGAGTTCAAGGTCAGCCTGGTCTACAGAGGAAGTTTTAGGATAAGCAAAACAAAGCAAAAATAGAACAAAACAGAAGGTAATTTATATTTGTTTAACTGCTACATTGGGGCTGGTGAGATGGCTCAATGGTTAAGAGCATGTACAGCTCTTCAAGAGGACCTGGGTTTGGTGCCCAGCACCTATATAGTGGCTCACAACCATCTGTAACTCCAGTTCCAGGGGCTCCAAAGCCCATGTCTAGCTTCTGTGGGTGTCTATACAAATGTGGTACCCATATGTACATTCAAGAAAAACATTCATACATACAAAATAAAAATTAATAAATCTTAAAAAAATTGCTGCTACAGATAAGGAACTGTACCAGAAATGTTCTAGAATATAATTTATATAATCTTATATAAGCTACTCAACAATTGAGTCAGGATTAACACATTTGCAGGTTAGTAAGCGAGTTTCAGGGTAGAATGAATTGTTTAGACTGATTCAGGCTGAGCTTACAACTGCATCCTCTGTGATGTCCAGATACCAGGCTCTCAGCACCAACCCAGCAGCTCCAGAGAAGGCAAATGATACAACTGAAGATATAGGTTGTCATTAGTGAGCACCACGAACTTAAGAAAGATAAGGAAAGGTAAGGAAAAGAAGCTAGGAGACTATGCAGTAATTCAGCTGTAAAGTGATGCGGGCAAGGTAGGAGGAGTCATAAATAAGAACAGTCAAATGTGATAGGCATTGGCCAGGAGTTACCAGATAGGAGAGCAATGTAAATGAAAGCAGATTCATAGACACTGTCTATACAGCGCAGGCCATGCTTGCTTGTGGTTGCGGCTGAATCAGGGTTGGCTGGTGGCTCTGAGACCTGTCCATTAAGAATCGGGCACAGTCCTGAGACAGGATTTCCTCAACAATATAGTGGCTTTGGTTTTGTCACTGGAGCTGTTACCTGAAGCCTGTTGAAGAAGAAACAAAAAGATTCAGGTCTTATAGAGAAGTTATGTGTTGTTAACATCTCTTTGAAATACTATACAGTGTGTTGCCACAGTATTTCCACCCATAATCATGCATCTAAGAGTAGCCTATAGAAATAATAGACAGGACCCCGACCTGTTGGTTTCTTTACCAGATAAATCCATCAAGTGTATCAAGGATATTGGCAACTGTATAGACAAAGAGTATCCCAGTTCCATAAAACACTGATATGGGGGGCTATTAGCAAACTCTGTTGGCCAGATATCACTATGCACAGAAAATTGGGGGGGGGGGGGTCATGTGTGTGTATCTATAAGTGCTGTGTGTGGAATTGCTTGGACTTCCATTCATATGGTCTCCATAACTCCCATTCCACTGAGCATCTGGAAGGGAAATATCTTTCCACAGGATGTAATCCTAGAAGATAGGTCAGCTGGGAAATCACTTTGGAATTTGAAACCAAGATTGGGGAGGGGCAGGCGGGGTCTATAGGGATTTCTGTCATATATACAATGTAGGGATGTAGATGCTTTCCTTCCCTTCTGTTGTGTAAGTTTGTCAAGCCACGTGTCCGTTCATCTGTTTCTCGTTAGTTTTGTTTTGTTCTAATTTAAATACACACACACACACACACACACACACACACACACACACACACACACTAAGCAATTTTAATGAAGAGAAATTCCATTTTCTCTTGAATTTTCTTTGGTGATGAGATTCACAGAAAGTTCCGAATTAAAGAGATGTACAAGTTAGAGTCCTTACTAGAATTTAAAACCAAATGCAGTTCCGGTTGTCCCTTTGTGTCACTCTTTCCCTTCAAGTATGTTCCCTCATTCTTCTGATCCTCCTTGTGAAACCACATTGGAAAAATTCAGTCTTGAAACAGTAATAGCAATCAGGGTTGGGGGTTCTTTTCAACAAGAAAAGATAATCCAACAGAAAGCTCTTGCTGACGCTATCCAAACAGATATTCTGGTTTAGAGAGTGTTGGGATGGACCCTTACTCTAGTCTCACCCATTGAAAAGCTGTCTGGACAGAGTGCGCTCTGCTTTTCTAAACCATATTGACTTTCAGCTTTAAACAGTCTTTATGAATGATCTGGGTTAGTTCAGAAGGTATAGCATTCCCCAAAGCACTAGCTCTTCCAGCAGCCAGATTTTCAAAGTGAAATGGCACAGAAGGAAATACTTCATTGCACATTCTGAACTGACTTTCAGGTAAAGTACAACTTGGATTTCCATATAGAACATATTTCTTCATGGTTGTTCCCACAGAGTCTATCACTTGATCTCAAGGATTTGTATCTCCTTTATTCATGATGAAAGAAGGCCCAACAAAATCTGACCCTGAGTAGACAACTAAAATGCGTGTCACATAATAGACACCTTTTCTATGGCAACACATCATATAACATTCAGAGCATATACACAAACATATGTAGAAAATTCACTTGACTAGCTCCCTTCGACTTTGTCTATCTCTGAAGTCATCTATTTCCCATTTTGCTTCAGAGTTAGAAGACAATAGTGAGCCAAATAAAGGCTAGAGAAGGTAATTTTTACATAAAAAGATCAAGTCTCGCAATGTCTTTCAGAGTATGATACTGGAACTCTTTGGTAGTCCAGAACATTCATTGGCCTCATTCCTGACTTTGCTCTCCCTTTTTGGGCATACCACCAGTGACAGGGGGACATACTACTTCACAAATTAGCTTATGCAGCAAGATCATTACTTACATTTTCAGTAATATTCTGGTCCACACTCCCATAGCCTCTTAGCAGGTTGATTCCAGTAGATCATGAATCTTACCAGGTGGTCTTGCTAGTTCTTCTTTTCCCATAAATAACATCACTGATAGATTCTTCACACTGAAGCACATGATCTTCTAAAATGGTAGAAGATTTATGGGATCTAAAGAGAAAACAGAGAATAAATCATATTTTTAACAATGAGAGAAAACCAAGTTCAAATCCTCTAAGGTATATTTGACTACACATATACTCCTAATGGGTTGGGTGTTGAAGCCAAGGACCTTCTACCCTGCCAGTCCCCTTTGTAAGCACTCTCTTCTGATCATATGGCTCTTCTTGTCCTTCCGGCATGTTGTGCTATTTCTGTAGCACAACCTTTGTCCAAGCTCCCTCTGGTTGAAAGGCTATTCCCCTGGGTCGCTGTCGTGTGCTCTCCCATTCTTTTATGGCCACATTCAAGTAAGATGAGTCCCCTCCCCCACTGAGTCACTCACAAACCCTTCAACTACTTCATCCTTCTCTACAGATCACAAATGGTGTCCCATTTGATAATACTTGGGATCTCACAAACTAACCCTTTCTTCCTCAGGTCTGACTCACCAGCATGGAAAGTTCTACTACTAATGTATTGTGGACCTTGAGATTTCGCTTCCTTCACTCATCATTAAGATCTTCTAAGGCTCGGGGATTAAAAGATCCTTTTAAATCAAGGCATGGAGATACTAATAGGGAGCAGAAGAATCCTTTGGTTGTTTAGGTTGGCTTTAAGGACAGGTAAATTCTAATTGTGTAGAGGAGGAGGGGCTGAGCACAGACAGTACTAAAGAGAATAAGATATGGCTCTTGGTGGCGTTGCGGCTGAGCTCGTGTGCGGTGGCAGCCGTGTTAGGAGCGGCTGCAGCAAAGCGTTTGGCGCGATGTCTCACACCATTTTGTTGGTACAGCCTACGAAGAGACCAGAAGGCAGGACTTACGCTGACTATGAGTCTGTGAATGAGTGCATGGAAGGTGTTTGTAAAATGTATGAAGAACATCTGAAGAGAATGAATCCCAACAGCCCCTCCATCACATACAGTATCAGTCAGTTGTTTGACTTTATCGATGATCTGGCAGATCTCAGCTGTCTTGTTTACCGAGCTGATACACAGACGTACCAGCCTTATAACAAAGACAGGATCAAAGAGAAGATCTACGTACTCCTTCGTCGACAGGCCCAACAGGCTGGGAAGTATTTGAGTTGGAAGCATTGGGGGCTGAGGGTGGGCTTGGAACAGGTGCTTACAGCGTGCTGTAGTGAACATTTTGTATGATAGTAATCCTGTTTCCATTTTGTTACTAGAGCCAAGATTGAATGTATGACACCATAGTGAATGACCTTTTCATTCGAAACCACCGTTGCCCCTTTGCTCCTTTCTTTTTTTACTTAAACATTTTTATGATAATTCAGAGAGAAAGTGTTCTTTGCCAGTTAAGGTTGGTTCCAGACCTGGAAACTGTTTGTATCTGCTTTACAGCAGTGAGTGCACCAACCCTTTGTGGGGGGTAGGGATGGTGATGAGCTTAGTTATGTCCTCTGGGAAAGTCTTAGTGAAAAATAAAAAATGTTGTGAAAAAAAAAAAGATATGGCTCTTGAAGACACGCAGGATAAAGGCCTGGGTTGTTCTGAGAATAGAAATGCTGAAGTCAAGTTTATCTTCCTTTACGTCTTTGGCTTCATCTGGCCCTACTGGAATGAGCTGCCACAACCCCTTAAAAAAAAAAAAAGCCTAGGTCTGACCATTTACTCACTGCTAGAAATCATCTCATTTATGAACTTAAATAGTAAACTTAACCCATTTAAAAAGACCGTACCATGATGGCCGCGATGGCTCGAACCTGTTTCCCAGCACTTGTATGGCTGAGGCAGTAGTCTTGCCTTGAGTTTGGGTCAGCTGGGATTCCAGGAAGGGATTCTGTTTCTAAATCAATAAATAGACCAAAGGTTCATGATGTGGTCTGCAGATAGACAGGGCACCACAGTGTGCTGGTGTGTAAGACTTCCCAGATTCCAGCCACATAATCCCACCACAGTCCGGGTGGAGTGCAGCCCAAGTCAGTCCAACCCCAGTACCCTGAGCTTGGTTAAATACACTGTACATTTTTTTTTCCACTTGCAAATACATCTGTATTAAATTCAGGGAGTTGACCTAGAAGATTTCTGGTGGATTTTCCCACTTTGGATTGCATGACATCAGTTGAGCTTCAACATTCTTAGAGACTCAAGAAGTCATGGTGAGCAGCAGGTAGAAAAGGAGCAGTGGTGGCTGTGGATGTCCACCTAGGACAAGCTTGGGGACAGTCTGTGGAGAGGAGAGGCTGGTCGCTTGTCACAGTGCCCCATCTGCATGGTGAGGGGATTTTTGGGGGGGGGCGTTTTCAGGACAGGTTTTCTCTGGGTAGCTTTCCTTGGCTGTCCTGGCATGAGTGGATGTTTTTAGTTCTAGTGAATAAACATTACACAGAACTTGGGAGGGCAATAATATTTTGTGGGTAATCTACAACCCACAGGCAACCTCTTGTGCCATTTGTGGAAAATTTTTCAGGAGTATAGTGTGGTTTATTCCTCTAGTTCTATACCCCCAACAATCTCTAGAATGTTATTTCAGTATTATAAAACTAGAGGGCACATCCCTAACATTTGAAAATTATAATGACCAGTAAAGGGTATCTTTTACTTTATTTTGGCTGAGTCTTGTGGCAAAAGCTTGTAGTCTCAGCTACTTGGGAGGCTGAGTTAGGATGACCAAAAGTTCCAGGCCAGTCTGTACAACATAGTGAGGCATTATCTAAAAATAAAAAGGAAAATGATAGCTGAAAATATAGCTCAATGATACAGCTCTTGTCTAGTATGTATAAACCCCTGTGTTTTATCCCTAACACTACTAGCTTCATAGGAAACATTGATTACCATTACATTAATTTTCTCTTTTGTTTGCATATATATTTGTTAAGACTTAGTCAAGGAATAGACTGGATATTTGTTTGTTTGTTCATTTGTTTGTAGGGTCTCTCTATGTTACCCATGCTGGCCTTGAATCTCTGGACACAAAGAATCCTACTTCTCAGCCTGCCAAGTATCTAGGGCTACAAGCATACATCACTGCCAAGTTATTAAACTTTTTAGAAGACAGTTATTATCATTTGACTGTCCTTCAGAGTCGTGTATTTGAACATTTTTTTTCTTCCGGTTGGTGGTACTGTTTGGAGAGGTTGTGTAACCTTTAGGAGGTGCTGCCTTGGTGGAGGAATATGTCCCTGGGAGCTGGCTTTGAGGGTGTATAGCCCTGTCCTGCTTCTTGTGTGCTAATGGGACCAGATAGCTTCCTGTTTCTGCTAGCATCCTTCTCCTCCATGATGCACTGCATCCTTCTGGGACTCTAAGATAGAGTAAGTTCTTTAAGCTGCTTTCAGTCAGGGTATTTTTTTTTTTTTTTTTTTTTTGGTTTTTCAAGACAGGGTTTCTCTGTGTAGCTTTGCGCCTTTCCTGAATCTCGCGCTGTAGCCCAGGCTGGCCTCGAACTCACAGAGATCCACCTGCCTCTGCCTCCGAGTGCTGGGATTAAAGGCGTGCGCCACCACCGCCCGGCCAGTCAGGGTATTTTTATCACAGCAACAGAAAAGTAACTAAGACACCAGAACAAGTAACAATAGCAACAACAACAACAACAAAATGCAATTTTCCTAATGCAAAAGTGAGATTATTACTTAGTAATAACAAGTGAATTGGTCTATTCTGGTGATAAACTGGTCACTTACAATAACTATATTAGAAGCAATTCTTAACAGTGGCTATCTATTAATAGTAACATAGTGTTTTATCAACAACAAATTAAACACACCTACTTTAATTGGTTGCCATGGTAGTAAATGGAGATACACAGAAATATTTACACCTATCAAATTTATTCTTAGCTCTTGAAACATAATTCATTTTAGGTACTAAGTCATTATTATGCAGTGCTATAAGGTGTTTGGAATGATATATCTGTGTTAGTAATGAAAAGATGTGCAAATATGCACAGATACATTTGTGACTGATTATTTATAATAATAATATTTGTGTTTGTTACTCATAAAAATTTCCTTAGTGAATCTGATAGTTAAAAATGAAAATGTAATTCATTATCATTACTCTGCTGGTAGATCATCTATTGTGTTGGCTTTGGACATTCATCCACCCTGAGAAGGTAATTGTCAGGATGGAAGAGGCCTCAAAATTTTAGCAAGAGGTCCGTTAATAGCTAGCCAGTGAACAGAGGAATTGTGGGAGAAAGTCAGGGAGACATGTCAGTTGCCTTCTGATGAGTCTAACGCAGTTAATGTGGCATTTTACTCCAGGTGTCCTTATTGGAGATCTTTTAGTCCACTTTGCCTGGACACAACTTTGGTTGCAAATATATTTAACCCTCTTCAGACTGGTCACTTCATTAAAGATATCCCACAAAAGTCAATCCAGCAGAGTAGGTAGTAGAAGTCCCTGAAATTTGTCATGTTAATATGTGTGTGTGTGTATTTAATAATATTACTCTTTCATGCTGTGATTTTTCCCCAAAATGTAGTATAATAAGCATTATAATGCTGTTAACTGTTTTTAGCATAGCTGACCCATTACCTTTGCATAACAGAATTCTTTTAAAGCATATAACATCACTGCTATTTTCACTTGATTGTGTAAAGTTTTGACTAGCTATTTATTGAGAGTAGTAGTATTTCTACTGTAATTGAAATCTTTCATTTCAGCAGTTACACAATAAAAAGGGCTATTTTTTTTTTTACTTCACTTCCTGGAATGTGCTGACACCTGTTCTGCTTGCTTTGACCTTGACAACTCTTTCATTAGGCAGAGAACATGGAGGATGTATTAGAGATTGTGTTCCAGGTGTGTATCGCTTCTGTTGACTGTCCATTAACCAGAACCAGTAATGGAGCCCCACCTGGATACAGTCATGCTGGGAAATACAGTCTTCTTTTGTGCCTAGGAGGAAACTAGCTCGGTTTGGCAAACACATCATTGTTTCAGCCTTGCTTCTCTTTACTGATGAATCCATTTTCAACAAGAAAAGGGGCCTACAAGGAGAATTGTTTATCTATCCACATTTTTTTTTATACCTCAAATCAGGCTGTCCCCTGAAGGCTGTGAAGTTACCAAGCTAAGTTCTTTCTGACTGAAATGGTTGAGCAATGAAGGCATGGCATCTGACAGAAACAAAGGAGATACAGGAGGAGAAGATAATGTTGAAGAGGGATATGAGTATACTCTGAGTATGGGGAGCACTGGAGGATTATTTTTAGGATCTGGAGATAATCTTAAACATTGGCTCCACAGTGATTCCTGGGTGCTCACTTTTTATCTTACCGAGTTTGCACCACTTTACCATTTATGTGATTTCTCCCACCATTGAATTTAAGATTAAACTCTTTCTAAGATGCAACCTTAAAAGCTAGAAAAAGAAAAGCAAATAAAATCCAAAGTAAAGATGGAAACACTTGAGCTTGAAACTAATAAAATAAGAAACAGAAAAAAGAATATAGAAAAATCAAGGAGGGGTTGGAGAGATAGCTCAGTAGTTAAGAGCCCTTGCTACTCTTCCAGGGAACCTGAGTTCAGATCACAGCACCCACATCTAATGGCTCACAGCTAACTGTAACTTCAGCTCCAGGGGAACCCAATACCCTTTGTGAGCCTTTAATAGCCTTTGTGAGCACCTACATACAGGTGATACATGCATACATAGGCACATATGCATACACGTATGAATAAAGATAAATCTTTGAGAATATATAAAAAAAGAAAAATCAAGGAAATAAAATATTGACTCTTTGAAAGGTCAGTAAACTTGATGAGCCTCTGGCCAAACTGATGAAAAAATAAAGACACAAATGTTCAGTATCAATATCACAAGTCATGAAGACATTAAAATAGTGACAGGGAAATACCATGAAATACTTTATCTCAATAATGTAGACAGTATAGACGAAATGAGTAACTTGAGAAGATATATATGTGTGAATATTGTTATGGCAAGTCTATCAGAAATGCCTATCTATTTTTAAGAGGCTTTTTGTACTGGTCCAATGCTTAATTTTGTACATTATGCAACCAGTAATTTGGTGAATTAGCTGATTTTCAAGTTCTAAATCAATTTATATTAATATGATGAATTCCATTTTTTCATGACATAGTATTAATTTGTTTGGCAGCTATGACAAAACACAGATTAAGTGGCCTAAGTAATTAAATTTATTTATTTGTTTATAATCTGGGTGCTAAATGTCCAAGATCAA